GAGTTATCATTGTTTACACTATTTGCATTCAGACTGTTGTCCTCATCTTTGTTGTTTACATCATCTGATTGTCTTCTGTCTGAATTTCTGTGTGAGTTATCATTGTTTACACTATTTACATTCAGACCATTGTCCTAAACAACAACTTTGTTGTTATGGTTGCAATATTTTCGCCGTTGTGCCCTTCAGCTTTCATCAGGTATAGCCTACGCAACAATAGCCTAGTGGATTAAAGTGCCACTTCATAAATTTGGTGATATCATTGTTAGTTCAATCCCTGGCCCAAGCAGTGTGTACTTGGGCTCAGTGGAAAAAGGACAAGAAATATCTGAACAGTACTAAAAATAAAAACTAGACAAGACTATTATTTTTTTTTAAACATTTCCCCTCAAGCAAGGCAGAAGGGCCATTTGTTCATGGGGTGGGTACCTATGTAACCCCCCTGTGAAGATGAGAGAAAAACTGTGTATAGGGGGAATGAGGAAAGGATAAAAGATGAATGGGGTTCAAGACATCAGAAAATGGCGATTGACATTGCATTTAAATTTTTGAAGATTGTAGTTATCAGGGAAGCAAGTAAACAGAAAGGAATTCCACAGGCAGGAAGTGTGAGGAAAAAAAGCTGTTGGAGTAGAAGTGGTGGTTATATTTAACTAATTTAATAATAAAAAGGGTGCGATCTAGATGCCAGTCTAGTAGCATGCTTAAATTTATGTAGTCAGGGTACCAGGAGGAAAAAAGCACGACAGAACAGTAGCCATAGTAATATTTGTAGAAAAGACAGAGGGAAGCCACATCATGTCTGTGAGAAAGTGACTGCAGTCGAGATGCTAAGTCAGGATCCTTCTTTGGATTTTGTTGAGAACCTCGAGATGAACAGTTAGGGCACCAGACCAGATATGGCAACAATACTCAATGCACGGACAAATGGTAGATTTGTAGAATGGACTCTGACAAGAAAAACCTTCTGGCATGACACAGTGAGCTAACTTTCCTTGCAACAGATACACCTATTGATTCAATGTAATTGTTTCACTTCAAGTAAGGCCAAGAAGATGCAGAGAGACACTCTCCTGGAGTTTAGAATCAACCATGCTAATGGCAGGCAAGGAATTATCTCTGTGATGGCTGAACGAGAGCAGTTTCATTTTAGAGGCATTAAAATTTACAAACCATTTCCTACCCCAGTTAAACACTGATAAGGTCCTTTTCAAGAGCAGTGGCCAGGTTGACTTTGTCAGTGCTGCTGGGTTTACTATTGAGACAGAAGTAAATGGTAGTATCATCTGCATAGACGCCTACTTGGGAGCTGATGACATCAGGAAGATCATTGAATATCCTTAGATATGGGCAGTGGAATGAGAACAGTTTGCCTTTGTACATTAAACAAAGTTTTATATTTATGCTAACATATTTTAATTTTAATTTAAATGTTTTATTGTATTTTATTTTAGTTATTGGATTCATCCCCTCCCCACTCATTTCATGGCATATTTTTATAAGATAAAATGAAAGAATAAAAAAGACAGTTGTATATATTGTGGAATTTTTATGTCACAGGTGTTTTAGTAGATCCCTGTGAATATGAAGTTTGTGGTATGCATTGGATTGAATGGTGATGAATGGGTTCCTGTGGTGTATAAGTAAATTGTAATGGATGGATGGGTTATGAATCAGATTAGCTCGGTGTAGCTGCAGTAATGATCAGCCTTTTCTCCTCCCCTTTTTTGGTCTTGTATGTAAGATAAGATGTAATATTTCAAAATAAAATATTTATGCTTTTAGGTAAATGAGAACGAAGTTTTTGAGCTTACAGGGGTGGTGGTGGTGGTTTTGGGTATACAGTAAGTATTATACCAGTGTTACAATAGTGATTTTTAGGATTCGTTTAATACTAGAATTAATTTAATTCATTGGAATAATTTTTATTTTCATAATTTTTGTGATAATTTTTATTTTTTAATAAATAATAAATGTTTTGTATCTGTCTGTATTTCTGAGATGAGGTATTATGTACATTATTCGGACTATTGTCTTCATCGCCATACTTATTACAACGTTTTGGCCGTTGTATGCTTCAGCCTTCTTCAGGTGGTTGGAATGTTGAACTGAACCCTTTATTTCACTGGGGTAGACTAGTTCCACGTGCAATGTTTAATGGATATCAGTTATTTCATGTTAATTCCCTCCTGCCTTAACCGAGTATTGAACTCACACTCTTTGGATCCTGTCACCTTTATCCACTGTGCCATGTGTCCTTGAGGATATCTGTGTATGAATTTCTGGGTATTATAAACCTAATTCTTCAGCAACCATTTTTACCATTTGTTGTAATAAATATGGCGACAAAGATGAGGACAATTGTCTGAATAATGTAAATAAAGTAAATAAATGTTTTGCAGGTAAAGAGGAGTGGGTGAATGATGGGGGCAATTAACATTTGAGAGATTGATATTTTTATTATTGATATGTTTCTACAATTAGTACAATATGTTTTGCACATTTTGCTTTTCATTGCTGTAGAATAATGGATAGTGTCTTGAATTTAGGAATCGGAGAGCCAAGTTCAAATTCCAGTCAATTCCATTACATCCACTTATGTTCTAATACCCTTAAGAAAGGTATGAATCCTCTTTTTCTCCCCCCAGCTATGGGTAAATAACAGGATAGACCGGGTTCTATAGCCTTGGATGGCAACTCATCTACTGTAGAAAGAAATGGCAACTTACTGTGGGAAAAAATATGCCTCGTCAGTCATGTATTGAAAGATACATGATTGCCTAAGCGTGTAACACAAATGGCACATAACTGACTGACTGATACCTATTTTTGCACCCCTATCCCTGTATAGAAACCAAATAAGATTATTTGAAAATTCTCTTTTTGTGTTGCTTTTTAATATAGCTCTGAAATCTTTATAAGTAGTCACTTTCATTATTAAATTTAATAATTACAGTTTGAATTTTGGGGATAAGTAGTTATTTTTGTTATTTACATGTGGACTATTGTCCTCATTTTTGTTATCATTACAGTGTTTGACCTCTTGGCTTCTTCAGGTGTCTGTCAGTTCAAGAAATTTTGAACTTATTCCTTTGATGGATAGGGGTTGATTGTTTTCATTCTGTTCTCTGTGTTTGCAGGTATCTTGACTTGTTTAGTATTACTCAGTTATTGCTTGCCCTGTTTTAGTTTCATCGAAGTCTGTACTACCTCACCCAGGGATTGAACTCACAATTACTCTGTCATCATGTAGGTTATCCCACCTGATTTACTAAAAAAAATAAAACAAAAAAAACAACATCATTAGGTGGCACTTCTTGAGATTATAAAAAGGCATCCTTTTCTCTCCTTAGCTTTTTTTTTTTTTTTTTTTAGCTCTGGCTTTAAGATATAGTTGCACATGGGTAAAATGTTCCTCACTGGGAACATTCATTTTCATGGTTTTTCTCTCTTAACTTTTGTGCTCTCTCACACTAGCTTGTTGCACACACACACACATAAACAAGCACATTATTATTGTAGCTACTTTCATGTTTTTTCCTATCGTCACATGTAATTCCTTTGTTAATAGATCCATTGTCGTTAGTTGTATATTTATTTTGTGTTATTCATTTTTACCTGGACTCACATTGAGTCCACCAATATTTTTTGTGGGATAAATTTTCTGGGAGCATGTAAATATTTACTATCCAAAGTGCTAATTCCTGCAACATGATGGTGACTAAATATTTGCCCAATCATACTAGTATTCAGCAACAATCAAATTCACAAAACACCGCTTTTATCTTCTAGGCTATAAATAGTGGAATGAGAACAGTATATCTATGTAGATTAAATAAAGGGTACAGTTTGAAATTCCCTGAAGATAATCTATATTGAGAGAAACCTGTAGAAGGCAGAAGGACCCAAAGGCTGAAATATTGCTATAATGACAACAAAGATAAGGACAACAGTCAGATAATGTAAATATTGATTATAACTAAATATGAATGGATTTGATTAAAGAGTTTGCATTAAAAATTTCCAGAATTTTCATTTATGTGTAATTGTACATGATTCATTCGAATCTGACTTGATAAATTTGATAAAATCTACCATTTTGGAATTATCAACTGTAAAAGTTTGCATTCATTCACGTTGTTGGTAGCATACATTTGCTGCGGAAAGGTAAGAGAACGTAGTTAACAGCCTTGTTTACTGATCTTACTTGTCCCATTTGCTGTGCAAGAGAACTATATTGCATGCACAATAATCAAGACAAGTGAATATTCTATTCATAGATATCCCACAGCAAATGTATGCAAAGAACACAAGTAATGGCTGTCGCAACATGAATGAATCCAAACTTTTACTGCTGATAACTCAAAAACAGTAGATTTTATCAAATTTATCAAGCCAGATTTGAATGAAGCATGTACAATTACACATAAATGCAAGTATTTTGGAAATTTTTAATGTGAACTGAAAGTGGGTGTTAAACTGCAAATTAACCTTTTAAAGTAATTGCAGTAACAAAAAGAAAATTTGGAAATGTTTTTTTTTTTTATATACCTTCTATCAATGATGTTGGTTTTAGAAAGGTGGGGGAATCTGAAAACTTTTTCACACTCACCACCTTGTATGTGTATATGGGGAGGGGTAATACAGGAATGCAAGCTTATTTTCTTTCTCCAAACCAGTTTATGCTTCAATTTTTTTATTTTTTTTTTTATTTTAACAAGATACCTATAAGTTTTTTCCATGCAAAACCAGTTTTACTTGTGTGTTGTTTGTATACCATCAAATTTCTCCCTCCCTCTGGGACTGATGACATTTTGTCTACTGCTACCCAAGATAATGCCATACTTTCACATCCCCTTACCAACTTTCTGACTTGGGAGGGTCATCATTCCATACCTTACTTTGTTAAATAGAGGCAACTGATACTGTCTCTGTCAGCAAGCCCCAGTAACAATAACATTACCAACATTCTTACCATCACCACTTCTTCACCTGTGGTGATGGGTGGTGATGGTGGTAAAAGCATGCTCCTAGTGCAATGGTGAGCACATCATTACTTTAGTTAGCTCTTCACTGTGTTCCTATTAGTTGAGACGAGACTTGATTCAGTATAAGCTAAAAATAGAAAATAGCTAATGCCAGTGGTACCATAAATGTTAATGCCATTACTTACTTGTACATCATAAACTACAGCGTGGGGTACCCAATGAGGAATGAATTCATTACAGTAGTCTGTAACTGTGAGTGAGTTTACTAACAGGACTTACTGGTAGAAATTGCTAGTTAAACAAAGGAATAATAAAGATCAGTTTGAAATGATAAAAATAATACAATGTAACGTTTTCATGTTAGAAATGTGAGATTATCATTTAAAAAATTCTTGCTTAAAGCCTTTTGTTGATTGAGGTGGGTTTTTAATTTATTTGATTTTATTATTAACCGTTTTACTTTTTCTAACTTTTAATTCTTCAGGTTTTTTTCTTTTTCAGTTTTTTCTTTCTCAATTTTTTTCTTTACCGTTTTTTTTTACTTCCGTGTTATTTCTTCCCACTTTTTCTTTTTCAGTTTTTTTCTTTATCGTTTTTTTTTCTTTATCGTTTTTTTATTTCCGTTTTTTTTTAGTTTTTTATCTTTCCTCCTTTTTTTTTTTTCATTTTTCTTCTTTTTCATTTTTCTTCTTTATCGTTTTTTGTCGTCGTTCTTATTTCGTTCTTTTCTTTATCGTTTTTTATATCATTTTTTCTTTCCTCCGTTTTTTCTTTGTTTTTTCTTTTTCATTTTTCTTCTCTATCGTTTTTTCATCGTTTTTTTTTTCTTTATCGTTTTTTATATCCATTTTTCTTTCCTCCGTTTTTTCTTTGTTTTTTCTTTTTCTTCTTTTTCATTTTTCTTTTTTTCTTTTTTTCATTTTTTTCATTTTTCTTCTTTTTCATTTTTCTTTTTTTATCGTTTTTTTCATCGTTCTTTTTCCGTATTTCCTTTATCATTTTTTTTCTTTTTTATCCTATTTTTCTGTTTTTACGTTGTTTTGTTTTTTCCTTTTCCTTTGTTTCTTCGTTCGCCTTTTTGCTTTTGTAATGTTACATTTCAAACATTTTTAAAAAAACTCATCTAGAAAATATACTTCTTTCGTTGTATATTTCGAAGAAAAGACTTAACGTACTTTTTTCTTTATATTTTCCAGACTTTAAAAAAATCGGATATTAAAATAGTTTGGTAATCAATGAGAAAAATTTATCTAACTAAAAATAATTATAAAAAGATAGGATTCTAAAAATTGTGAACCTGAAGATCAATTCAAAAGCTGACTCAAAATTCAAAAATCACGATTTTCTTTTTTCGAAACCAAAATAGGAAATTATTTTTATTATTTTTTAATCAGAACAGAAAATTAATTCTTTTTAAAGAATTAGTCATAAATTTAAAGAAAATTCTTCCAAATTCGAAGATTATCCTCAATAATTTCGAATCTGCGAAGCATCATGATATGTAGTTACTATTGAGACTAAATTTTAGTCACTAAAATGAAAAAAAAAGAATGGGTCTGAACTCTAAATTTATCATCAAGACTAAAAGAAAAGAAAATCTTTCACTTGTTTCGAAATATGATGTGCTTCTTCTGGATTAAGAGTTTGATTTTCTTTTATTTATATATGGATGTTTTTGTTTTTAGTTTTATTTTCTGGCACCTCTTTCTTATATTTTAATATGAAATTGACAACTGACTGATAAACCTGTTGGCAGGGATGTCTGAGTTCATATCTTTACTAAGGATAATTGTACTGAATGACACTTTAGTCAGGAACCCAGAATTGGGTTAACAACATTTTGTTTTATTATTATTGGTTTTATTTTCTGATACTTTTTCTCGGCCACTTCATTCATTAGAAAACAAAGGAATGATGAACTGTTTAAGAAAGTAATTCTCAATTCTCCGATACGGAAGTGAAAAAATCTCACAGATGGAAGAGAAAGGCAACCTAACCGAAGAATGCTGAAAATACTATGGCGTGGACGAAGCATGTGAGCAACGAGAAACAAAAATGAATTTAGAATCATAAAGAGACACATAAGTAGGAAAGAGGACTTGGAAAGTTTGACACTCACAGGACCTTTTTGAAGTAAAGAAAACAGCGAGTAACCTACTTACCGACCTTGTGTAATTGGGGAGATAGCAAAAAAAAAAAAAAAAGGTCAACATTGAAGATAGAAAGTGGCGGAGAGCCATGATCGCCCAGTACAGTATTTCTTTGTGCCAGACTTCAATTCAACATTCAAGCATGACAACAAATATTAACTTTGATATCGTCTTCTAGGCTCGTCTCGTTTATTTCAGGATATTGTAATTAATTTCTTTTTTAATTTATGTATTTTTTTAATGATTAATGCTTGTAACACTCAGAAACTTGCGCAGCATCACCCTTTCTTTCTTTGTATGTTCTTTTCTTGTGTGTACGTGTCAGTGGCTATACTACCAAGATGACTAACACTTTTTGAACATGGTGTAGGGAAATTTGTTGGTTTCTGAACTTGTATTATTATTAAACTGACTCAAACCACTTTTTCATTCACTCAAACTGCCAGTCTTGTCAAATCGCCACCCCCTTAAATTATTACACAATAATGTACACCACCGTGACGACTACAACTACTACTATTACCAGTCACCCTCAGTACTCCTACGATCACACTCCCAGTAATACTGCTACTGCTGTCATCCTAAAGTACAACTACTTTTACCGACCCCTCGTATTACGTGTTTGTTTAGCGAAGTTCTTAACAAGCTACTACCCCGACTTAAACTCCAAAATGTAACCCCTTATCATATATCAGTATGACAGTCAATTCTCTTTACTGCAGTGACAAAGGAATGCTGTTTTAATCCAGTGATTACATTTCCTTTTTTTTTTTTTTTTTTTTTTTGTGGGGACAGTCTGCAGGGGAGACGCACACACGTGTTATCACTGTTTTAGTGTTTATCTTTTATTGTAAGCCTTTGTTGTCCGTCTCCGCCCGCCCTTTATGGGTTGTGGTCTCTTGCTCTGGGCGCACGCAACCTGCTTCAAAACAACTATCATCTCATCCGTCCTGACTTGATCAGGTGAGTCGACTGTTTGCCTTAAAGTTATAAACCTTGTTGCAAGCATAAACATCCCCCAACTGCTTGCTGGTGCTTCCTCCACTGCCCATGAATAATAATAAAAATCATTGTTCTTATTGGGTTTATTCTTTTAAGACAAGAATAAGGAGAAAAATCTATACTCTATTTTGCAAAGTAAGTTTTTTTTTATTCTTTGTATCAGTTGTGTTTTTAACCCTTAAACTTTTCAGCAACCATAGAAGGAAAAATAGTTTAATTTTTTTAGTTTTTTTTTAATTATTTAATTAGCTTTCTTTATTTTCAATTTTTGTTTTTAATTTTGGGTATTATTGTGTAATTAATGTTAAATTTAATTTATCTTTTCTAACTATTTCTCGTGTATATCAAACCAAACACAGTACCTCTTTGACATCTTCCATCTTTTTATTTATGTTTTTAACTGGCCTCATATTCTGAGCACATTCGAAATAAAATCTATTATTTAAACTCTCTCTTCCCTTGTAAATTGAAATTTTTTTTTGTTTACGGAAATTAAATAAGTTTTTAAAAACTCTAAGTAAGAAATAGTTGGAATAAATGAATAAATTTTCTTGCATTCTGTTTTTATTTCAAATGCTTGACTCTTTATGGCTCGGAAGCTGTTTCCAAAACTACAGAACAAGAAGACGAAAAACAAAATCAATGTTTGGTATACACAGAAATTAAACAGTTTAAAAAAGGCAAAAAAACTTATGAATACTTTTTAAAATTTCAAACTTTCTCAAAATCGAAACAAAACTGTTAAAAAAATAACCGTTAAAAATGTAGATAATTTTTTTATTGCTTCTTTTTAAAAATCTGACTTCTTTCTGTGACGAATGTTAATCCCGCCGTCCAGAGAACAAACATTTTTAAATAATCTCTGGAATGATATACTGATTAATCATTCCAGATGCTTGTTTTGCTTTAAAAAATCCAGAAGACACTTGACTAAAAAAATAATTTTCATCAAATGTCTATATCTAATAATCGACTCCTGCTAAATATCAGTTATTAAATCTTTTTTCAACTTAGTAATTTCTATTATTTGTACATTTTATCAATCTTTTTATAAGGCATTCTCATAATAAACTGCAGAATACCAGAATAAAAATATTATGAACTGTTATTTCCAGGTTTTAAGTGAATTAATTTCTAGTGAAGTGAAAAGCAAGAAGTCATTTATTTTGTGCGTAAGGAAGGTCAATCTTCTTACACGTGCTTTTTTTTTTTTTTTTTTTGTAGAAAATATGGTTTTCAATGGTTTTTAGAATAATATTTAGTAAATTATAATTTTTCAAATAAAATAATGAAATATTTCAAAAAAAAAAAAAAAAATCATTACATAAGCAACCAATTTCGATAGCAAATGAGGTAGCTGGAAGATTGTGTAAGTAAGTAAAAATGTAATTACTCCTAAAATTTAAAAGGTACACAAAGCTTGTCTGCTTTGAAAATCTTCATTTTTAAAATCGTGGTTTTTCTCTCCGGTATCACAGCTTGAACACTGATCACCGGTACTGCTTGAAAGTGTGAAATAATTCGTCACAAAGCGGGTCAACATGACTGTTCGTTTTTTTTTCTCTCTCTCTTCATTTTCCTCTGGAGCCTAAAAAGCAGTTACTAAGCATACAGACGAGCATATTTGAGTACTATTTTTTATTTTCACCATACTTTTTGAGATACCAGTCTTATAATTCTTTGCTAAAAGCTGCCACATGATAAACAATTTTGACACAAAATCTCTTGTCTGGTTATCAGCTGTGATATGAATGTCCATCTCTTTTTTTTCAAAGAGACTATCTGTGTTTATTTTAGGCCTCAGGATTATTATTAGATGATAGCCGGCTTAAAATCAGCAGATATATGGAAATTGAAATTAGGTGTAATACCTAAATACATACATTCATACAAAAAAAGCGACACCTAAACTAAAAGTTATGCATTTATTTTAAGAAAATAAAAAATCTTTCTTGAATTTTTTATTTTAGTTTTAAATTTCAATTTTCAAGCCAATGATTAAATTTAAGATTTCCGAAAAAAATAGTCCGTATTGACAAAAACTCTCAACAACATAATTCTTTTTATTAAAAAATCTTTAAAAAAAAATCATTTTCTGAAACTTTACTTGAGGAAGATAGATAGCTAATTTAATAGTTTTATTTTAAATACGTATTAAAAAAAATTATTTTTTTAACACAGGGTGGGTGTTTTAATGAGTTGTTTATACATTTCTTGATAGACTTGGGTTTGGGATTTTTTCCTAAAAATCATAGGGGGACATAGCTGTAACAATTACTTGAATAACATGAACACTTTTTATATCAGTTTTTTTTTTAACTATCCAATAATTTTTAAAATTTAGGAAAATACTCTAAGTAATCTAATATTTTATTGAATTTTAAGTACTTTGGCTTTATAGTCTAATTTACAAAGACACTTGTTGAGAAAATGTTAGAAAATTACCTATAAATTTTAAATTTACTATAATTACTTTTCTGATCATGTTATATATAGATGTCCGTATTTGCAAAAATCGGCATGTTTATATATGTAGAAAATATTGGTGGTCATTGAGTTGTAGTAAGCTCTTCCATTGATGCTTAGTAAATAAAATTTTAATATCATTTGACTACTACAAATTAATAGCAGAATTTCAAAAGTTTGTAAATTATTCTAATTACAATAAAAAAAAATGAAACCAATTCTTTCAAAAATTCATTATTCATCAAAAAAACTTTCTTAAAACAATAGACATTTGTTTTAAAAATCAATGATTTGAATTGGAATAAAACCTAAACATATGAAAGTGAATTTATATATATATATATATATATATATATATATATATATATAAATTCACTTTTGCTCTAAATTATTAAAATATGTAAACTGTAAGGAAATCTTTATTATTTACCATTTTATGAAGTTCAAAATAATTGGCAATTGTCTGATATTT